GTACAACCCGAAACCCAACCCTGTTGTCAGCTGCGTGCTTCTCCAGTGTCCTACTGCGACTGTCCCTGGCGTCCCTGGTGGACGCAGACTCTCATCTGGCTCCACCACAGTCGAAGCCGTCATTTGCTTGACGAACCCCGCTGCCTTGGAAGAAAACACAGCCCCATTCAAGTACAAATTTGTTACAGTCACCAGTTATGTATAACCTTCCGAGCTGCCTTAACGTCCGTTTTGAGTTGCACTCTGGCGTTGTCATTGTTTGAAATAGTCGTCGGCTATGTCTCTCCCGTGATTTTTTCGCAGAGAAGACGAATGGAAGAAAATCGTGGAGGCGATATCTGGCAACAAGAGCGGAGTTTCCACAGTGGGCCCTTCAGTTGCTCTTGTTTCTGCGACGTCCATCGGCCTTCTCGCTCTGTTCTAGAAGTTCGTTGGCTTTTAAGGACTGTAGTAATAGACATGACAGAACGAGCCTTAATGGAACCTTGGATGACAGATGAGGACCTTCCGAGGGCGAGATGAGGTCAATATGGTTTTCTTATCTCCTTCTATTTCGAAGGAAAGAAAACGGAAGACATTTTATGATCCGTTGCAGCAAAGGGTTGCACTTCTTCTGATGTCCAGCATTATTTTCTATGTGGGGGGGATTTTATGCAGATCAGCTTGAAGCAACAACCGAATGGCTGTCCGTGCTGCCGTCATCTGGAGAACCTGTAGTGCTTTGAGGCTTCTTTAGCTGAATTAGGCAAGCAAATGTGAGGGGACGAATACTTAAACTCCAAGCAGTCACGGGCTATTTCCAAAAAGCTTGTTTCACGCACTGAAAGTGATGCATGAGTGAGGTCTGTTTGTAACCATTGCGAAAGAAAGCTCTCCTGCCGCCTTCCCCACTGAAGCTAACAATGCAACTGTGGTGATTTATCTGAAGAAAACGATAGCTTTTCCGTGCCCGAACCGGGCAGCGGAGGCTCCAACTGCTTTTTAAGGCTGCCCTGACATTCCGTGTGTCAATCAGACGTGTGTTGCCGAACCTGACCCCGTTACTAGCAGTGTACCTTAGTCGATAGTTCACTCGATAATAATTAGCCAATAGCCCGAAGAAAAGGTTCAGACAAGTGGCCAGAATTTCATTTGTATAGGAGGTAGAAAAATCGCAATTTAATCCTTATTACGTCTTCAACTTCATCCAGCATGCTACGATTACTTTCAATTGCTGAAGTTGAGCTAGGTTGGTCTAAGCAGGTTCGATCGGAACGAGGAATGCATCACCGAACGAGGCATATATTGAGCTTTTCAATTACTAGGCGTCCGGCAGCTGTCTACAGCGAGATCGCCAAATCCAATAAGAGCTGGGTTATTGTGAAGGAGAATGCGCCCATAGGGTAGCAAGCCGCATAGCCGGCATCTGGGGTGGGCTGAGTGTTGACAAAGTGGCGAAAGTGAATGCTTGGTTGCAACAATCCCAATCATCTTCAAACCCCGTTGGAGCAGACACAGGTACTTCAAGGAGATAGGAAGCTCGCTCCTTCAGTAGCCTTTTGCTTGACTACCTTTCCCCATTCTATCTTGGCGTGTTCGTACACTAGATATAATTGTAGATAGTTTGTGTTGAACGTTTGTGTAGGCGTATATTTGGACTGCCCTGTGTATAAGACAGCATGCATTGCTTTGCTGTTCATCCTCTGGTATGCGGATTGAAGGGAGAACACGTGCAGTGCAGTCAATGTTGGCGAATAGTACCTTGAGAGAACTTTGTCTTGTGTCGAGCATGTGCTGGATGGCGAAGATTTTCAGCGGGTGATGCGGCAACCCAGAACAGCAGAGGCCGTATTGCATCCCGGAAAGATAACAAAAAGTCGAAATCTGCCGTTAGCTCTGTTAAGCAGGATATAAAGTTCACTAACTCTCCTCAAATATCTTTTCTTAGTCTGTTTTCTGCCTGTTATTTTATTTTTAAAAAATGCTTCGCCTTGTTGTTACTCCCTCTGTCTTCGTGCTTGTGTTTTATGGGCACATGACCGCGAGTGCTGGCACAACGGGAACAGCAGGTGAGCATGTTGTGTAGAAGCGTTGTCCATCCAGAAGCGCTGTTAGCCAAGCAACGCTTTTGCTATTTCAGACTTCAGATATCTTTTGTGTGCGCTGGAGTTTCTCCCGTGAAATGCTTAACTGCTTAGACAGTATGAAATAGGCGAGGACAGCTGCGCGACTTGCTCAGTTCATACAGTCATCTGAAGAAACACGTGTGCTTCCGAACCCCCCTGCTACTGGAAGAAAGATATGGTCTCTTTGAAGCTGCCAGTATCTGTGCAGGGTGCGGGCACTGGACAGACTTGTCGTTGGACGTCTCACCGAATAAGTAATAGAACACGCAGGAGCAAGAAATTTCTTTTGGCATTTTATCATGTGCATTGAAACGTGCAGAAGAACATTCCATTTGTATCCGTACCAGAGAGGTGTCACGAGCAGGTGCTGTCGATGCATGCCGTGTGCAGGTGTCATTTTCGATAGTTTCCCGATGTGCTTATGCGTACTACTCTAAGATATCTTCAGGACCACTCCCAGGGCGGTACCTATCTCAAGGTGTGTCCAACGATGTCGGTGATTTACTGGTGGTGTTTGCCGTGGCTGCGTTTTCGGCAAGGGTGTGCCTCCTTACACTGGGTGACTGCATGATGTCACTTTAAAGGCGCAAACGTGTGCCATGGCATGCCTTTGTATCCTTATTGTCGCGTACACGTTTAATTAAAACTCACTGAAGACATTTTGAATGTTCTCGTGGCGAGAAATATCCTGTCTCAGCCTTCCCACACTTTGAGCGTCCATGGCTTTCCGCCATCACGAAAAGCGGAAAAGTTCGAATTATGACTTGTTTCCCCTCACTCCATTTTTTTTTCTTGCGAAAACTGTTAGTGTGTTTGTGAAAAGATCTTAGTGAACATTTGTGCCTCTATCAACTGAAGCACCATTGGTGTGTGACGCACTTTTGAAAAGCACTCGTCCTATACGGCATTTCTTGCTCTCACGTGCTTCAAAACAGCTCCACAATTGACTGCAGAAAAGTTTACTTGTACGTTTCAGCAGAAAAAATTGTCTGTGCTTTGGATGTGCTCTTGGTGGTGCAGATCTTTAAAGTGATGCGGTGACCCACGTTTGAGGCACGTGGCATGGGTCACGAAAGGCACAACCACAGGCGAAACATTAAGAACCAAAACAAGACATATTGTTACTGAAACTAAATAATCCTGCAGAGCGACATGAAGGGGAAAAAGAAGACAATCAGCGAGCACAGCCGCCCGAACCCATCCCTCAGGTGCCCTACGTGCTCACGATCGTCCACAAGGGAACAGCGGCCTCCAACTCTCCCAGAAGTTATTCCTCTAACCCGCCCTCTATGTAATATTATTCTGGTTGTCAACGATGCGCCATCTCGTTTTTATTGCGCCCGCTGTTGTGTCTGTGTTCTGTGGGCACGCAGCCGGTGGTGCAAGCACAACGGGAAAAGCAGGTATGCATGTTACTCCTGTCTTTTCCTCGTTAAGAAGCAAACCTCTTCATATTACTGAGTTGTAGTTTCTTCTTATTCAAAATGTTCCTGTGTGTATTCGAGTTTCCTTTCAGAGTGGTTCAACTGCCTGGCCGACATGAACGAGGCCAGGACAGCCGCTGGACTCGATGAGTTTAAGGAGGCATCTACTGCTGAGCAAACGCTGCCGCAAAGCTCCTCTTCGGGAAAAGCCATAAATGCTGATACTTTATGGAAGGAAATTTGCAAGATAATAACAGCGGTTAGTCCCTTGTTAAGCACACTGCTGTCGCGAGTTCGTTTGGCCAATCAGCGTCCTGTAGGTCACGGTGCATGCAACAAGAGACGCCAGGTTTATCTTGTTTTGCACTCTATTATGTGAAGGAAGCAGACGACAGCAATGAAGCCAAAAGCTTAGAGGGGAGCTTCGCCTATTATCCGGGCAAAAAAGACTGCAAAGCGGCAGTGCAATACTGGAAGGACGGGTTTCCGCTCTTTCATAACGAGCTGCCCCCAGCGTACACAGAGCCGAACAAGACTGACGTCTATACTGACAAGGCTGTCTCCTTCGTCGCTCTCTATAACCCTAAGGCGAGCCCCGTGGCCAGCTGCGCCTCTGTCACCTGCACAAAAGGAGCCGCGCTTGCTGCTTCAGCCCTGCCAAAAGGCCGCGAAGGCCAGACATTAAGGAAACTTCAATCTGGAGGGAATCTGTCACAGCTGTTATCTGTTTGACAAACCCGGAGGTGCTGGCTGCTGATGCGGTGCCATTCAAGTGGGACTACACCGCAAGACCACAGACTTCGCTGCATAGGATCCAAAGTGCATCGGCAACTTTTCACGGCGGTGTCTCTTGTATGTAAAATTGTTCCCCAAGGACCCAAATGATCAATGCATTGTGCTGTGCTTGGGTTTGCAGGGAAGAGGAGTGGCAGAAGATTGTTCATGCTATAGGTGGTCCTGAGGAGGGCAACGCGGTTTCGCCGGTTAGGCCGTCGTTGTTGCTTGGGCCCATAATAATATTCTTCCACTACGTTCTTTTATGAGTTGTCAGTCTCTGTGCAGGATTCTGGCACTGGACAGGCTTGCCGTCAGCCGTGTCACCGAATAAATGGCCCAGCACACGAGACCAAAAGGTTTCTTTTGGTGTTTTATTGTTCGTGTTGAGGAGTGCAAAATATGGACTCCTTTTAGCCGCTGAAGCGGAGTCCCACGATCAGGTGCTGACACAGCACCCCATGTGCTGCCAGGCTCCATTTTCGATATTATCCAGACGTTTTTATGCCTACTACTCCCATGTATCTTCAGAATCACTGCCAGAGCTGTGCCTATTTTAAGTTATGTCTAGCGATATCGGTGATCTACTGCTGTCGTCTCGCCGTGGCGATTTGTTTGGCGAGATTGAGTCTTCTCATAGTAGGTCACTTCCCGAGATCACTTTCGGGGTGCAGACCTTCGTCATGGCATCCCTTTGTAGCCTTATTGTTAAGTATGCACCTAATTGGGACGCATTGAAGAAATTTTGAATGCACCCATGCGGGAAAATATCCTGTGTTGGTTTCCTCACGCCTTGAGTGTTGATGAGTTGCCGACGCCGTCACTTAACGGAAAAGCATTTGAAGGTGGGCTTTTTTCCCACCACATTATTCTTAATCTTTGTAGTCGATTTATAGGAGGGGATGAGTACAATGAGTGAGTACAATAATAGTTTTTGTGGGCATTTGCGCATGCATCAATTTAACCCGCTGATATGTGATGCACTGTTGACAAGCGCTCCTGCTATCGGGCATTTCATGATCTCTAGCACGTTAGCACACGCAACCGCACAATTCAGGCTAGGCCAGTATAGTCAGCATTCTTCACTAGGCTTGAATATTGTTGATTTACCAGTCAGTGCTGTGCTCACCTCTAACTGTTTGTGGCTGCATCAGCGATGTAATGGCGGTATATTCCATGTCTGCGGATTTGGGCAGGTTGAGCCTCCCCATACAAGGTGACTTCAAATGGGCAAGTTTGTATCGTGACACATTTCTGTATTATTTTTGGGGGAAGCGTTTAAATAGAAAGTGTTGCAAACATTTTCAATGTGGGCTTCTTGAGGAATACCCTTCCTAGCTGTCTGAAGAACTGAGGCGTGACGGGGTTGCTAAGATTTTAAGAGGTAAAACCGAAAGTAAAACTTCCTTTTCTCTCTCCTTTTCTCTCGCCTCATTATTTGTTGCCTTGTTAAGCCGGGGGATGTACTTGTGGATACGCTGTAGTGAACACTTTTGTACACCTGAACTTCAACTATTTGTCGTCTGACGCATTGTTTACGAGCACCCATGATACAGTGTGTATTACTTTGCGATACATCAATCCAAAGAAGCACACATGTAGAGCAGGCTGGTCTAGGGGGAGTTGTTTCAGCAGAAGTATGTTGTTGGTAGTGTAAGTTTGGCATTGGCTTCCTCAGAACAAGTGGGTCTGTAAGGCACGCAGTGAAGATCATGAAAGCTACAAACCGATGTAGCACAACCTCGAACACTGTGGGCCTTATTTTCATTGAGTGCGAATGATTGTGAAAAAAGAAATGAAGGAGAAAGGGAATACGTTAACATCAAGTACACGAGCGCCAAACCGGACCACAAATGTGCTCTTCGAACCCGTCCGCTGACAGGGGAACACCGTTCACCGATCCCCTCCAGAAAGTGTTTCCTTCCGACGCTTTTTGTTGAGCACCTTTTAATAACGAAAGATGCTTCGTCTCGTTTTTATTCCACTCGTCGTTGTGCTTGGGTTCCGCGGACGCAAGGCAGAGAGCGCTGCCACAACCGGAAAAGCAGGTAACCATTTTACTCCTGTCTTTTCTTCTTTCGAGGCGCCGTTCCTGCTATTTCCGAGGGGAGACTGAGCTTCTTCACGAAATTCTTCTGTGTGTCGGACATTTTCTCAGAATCGCTCAATTGCTTGCCTCAGATGAATGAGGCAAGAACAGCCGCGGGACTGCCTGCGTTTGGTGAGGCGACCGAAGATGGACAACTGCTGCCGGAACATGCTGGTTCGGGAAAGGCAGTAATCCCCGAAACTTTATGGAACCAAGTCTGCGAGAAAATAATGGGGGTAGGCTGTCTCTCGAAGGCACTGCTTTCGCCACATGTAGTGAAACCGAAGACTATAGTGACTGTAGCGACTGATCCCCCATTTTCTTTGTGTTGCACTTTTCTGCTAAGGACGAAGGTGATACAGGTGAAATCGAAAAATTGGTGGGAACACCCGCCTATTACGCTGGAGAAAAGGACTGCGAAGCGGCAGTGCAATACTGGAAGGACGGGTTTTCTCTCTTCAATAACAAACTGCCGCCAAATTACACAGCGTTGAACGACCCTGATGTCTATACCGACAAGGCTGTCTCGTTTGTTGCCCTCTATAACCCCAAGGCGAGCCCTCTGGCGAGCTGCGCCTTCGTCACCTGCACAAAGACAAGTACACTTGCTGCCCCAGCGCTCGCTAGAAGCCCGAATAACCGGTCACTAAGAAGACTTCAAAATGAGCCCCAAAAAACTACTGCCGTTATCTGCTTGACGAATCCGGAGGCACTGAAAACTGGAGAAGCGCCATTCAAGTGGGAAAACACCCCAGGGCCACGGACTTGGCTGCACGCGACCCCAGGCCCATCCACAACTTAGCTGAAGTGTGCATTTCATACTGAGCGCTTGCTCCCATATGACCTAAATGATCAATATCTTGTGCTGTGGCTCGATTTGCAGGGAAGAGGAATGGCAGAAGATTGTTCAAGCTATAGTTGGTACTGATGAGGGCAACGGGGCTTCAAATATCAGGCCAACGTTGGCACTTGTGCTCATAATGATGATTTCTGCCTACGGTCTTTTTTAAGCTGCCAGCCTCTGAGCAGGATGCTGGCACTGGACAGACACAGCTTGTCGAATTGAAAAATGACCCAGCACGCGAGACCACGAGGTTTCTCCTGGTCTTTTATCGTTTCTGTTGAGGCATGCTGAACAGCTTCTGTTTTAGCTCTTAAGATATTGTCGCGATCAATTGCTGGCGGTGCAATTCATGTGCTACCACGTGGCATTTGCGACATTGTACAGACGTACTTATGCCCAGTAGTCCTAAGTATCTTGAGCATCACTGCCGATGCCTAGCCTATACTTGGATGTGTCTAGCGATATTGGTGATGTAATGGCGGTGTATACCATGGCCACTTGTTTTGCCAGCTTGAGAGCTTCTTCGCACCAGGTCACTTCGCAAGGTCGCTTCAAAGCGAAGGAATTGTTTCATGGCAACCCTTCATGCCTTTATTAGTCAAGAAAGTGTTTAACTGGAGCTCCCTATAGTCAGTTTGCATGAAGTGTTGTAGAGGAGCATTACCTTTCTGCTGTCTAATGCATTGTGGGGCCATGGTGTTGCCACGCTCATTCAAGGGGGAACAGCTCGATCGATAATTTCTTTTTCCACATTTTTATTTTTTGTCATCTTGTTAAGCCATGGCAGGCGCGTGCGAAAAAATTCTAGTGAGCGTCGGTTTATGCATCAATTTGAACCAGTGGTGTGTTAGGCACTGCTCAGAAGCTTCCCTGCTATGAGATGTTTCTTGCTTTTCGATGGAACGGTTTGTTGGAGAACATAAGCAAAGTGGGCTAATTGTAGGGAGGCTTTCTTAAAAGAAGAGCTTCACGTACTTTGCAGCATAGATCTTTGGGGGTGATGTGGTGACCCAGAACAAAAGAGCCTCTAAGCCACGTGTTGATCACGAAATGCTCGGATCCATGTGTAGCACAGTTACTAACAAATTTTGTGCTTTTTTGTTTAGCTTTAGGTATAGTGCAAATGCAGATGAAGGAGGAAGAAGAGGGTATCAACGACAAGTTCAGCCACTCCCACCCTGCCCAGGACTGTCCCTTCCCGCCCCTGCGTCCAGAAAAAAACAGCGTTCACTCATTCTGTCCATAGCTTGTTTCCTTGATCTTTTTTTGAGCACTATTTTCTTGCATATTTGCCGGAGATGCTTCGCCTCCTTTTTCCTGCGCTCGTCGTCGTGTCTGTGCTCTGTGGACACGGGACAGAAAGCGCCACTACAAAAGGAAAAGCACGTGAGCATTTTGCTCCCGTCTTTTCTTTGTTTTGAGTCAAAAATCCTGTTAATTCAGAGTGATGCCTCATTTTTTAAGCTATGCTTGTGTGTGTTGGTGTTCCACAGAAGCGCTTAACTGCTTCACCGAGATGAACGAGGCCAGGGCAGCCGCGGGGTTCCCTGCGTTTGCCAACGCAACAGAAGCGGGACAAATACTACCGGAACACTCTGCGCTGGTAGACATAAACTCTGGAACTTTATGGGACCAAATCTGCAAAAAGATAGTGGGAGTAAGCCGCGTCACAGGCACAGTGCGATAGAAAGCTCTAGCACTCCTAGGCATTCACGAGCCTGAAGAGTGGATACGGCACGTACAGCAACAGATGCAGATTTTTTCTTCTTTTTTGTTCCATTATGCGAAGGATGGGGAAGAGAGCTCTGAAATCGATAAATTGGTGGGAACGCCCGCATACTACGCCGGCGAGAGTGATTGCGAAGCAGCAGTGAAGTACTGGCAAGGCGGCTTTTCTCTCTTCAGTAACAGTTTGCCTCCAAAATACACAGCGCTGAATAACCCTGATGTATATACCGACAGGGCCGTCTCCTTTGTTGCTCTCTATAACCCCAAGACGAACCCTGTGGCCAGCTGCGCGTTTGTCACCTGCACAACAACGGGCGGAAACGAGTTTGCTGCCCAATCCCTGTCTAGAAGCCACAACGGGCGGATATTGAGGAGACTCGAAGATAACACTCAAACGACTACTGCCGTTCTCTGCCTGACGAATCCGAAAGCACTGAACACGGGAGAAGCGCCATTCAAGTGGGAACACACGCTCAAGGACCACGGATTTGGCTGCATAGGACCCAAAGTGCATAGGCAGCTTAGCCTAAGTGTGAATTCCATATGTAGCGCTTACCTCCATGTATCTAAATGACCAATATATTGTGTTGTGGACGGATTTGCAGGGAAGAGGAATGGCAGAAGATTGTTCATGCTATAGCTGGTGTTGAACAGGGCAACGGGGATTCCCCGGTCAGGCCGTCATTGGCACTTGGGTTCATTATGATCCTTTTCTCCAATGGTCTTTTTTAAGCTGTCAGCCACTGCGCAGGATCCAGGCACTGGATAGACTTACCCTTAGTCCAGCAGTCCAGCACGCAAGACCGAAATGCTTCTTTTGGTGTTTTATCATCTGCATTGAAGGGTGCAAAAGATAAGCCATTTTTAGCCCCTGCATAGAGGCGCCACGAGCAGGAGCTGGCGATGCACGCCATGTGCTGCCAGGTGCCATTTCTAATATTCTCCATACGTATTTATGCCCACTAGTCCTAGGTGTCTTCAGCATGGCTGCCGATGCTGAGTCTACCTATGTGGGTGTAGCGATATTGGTGATATACTGGTGGTGTATACTATGGCTGCATCTTTGGTGAGGTTGAGCCTTCTCGCACTACGTCACTCCATGTAGTCCCTTGAAAGAGGTAGGCATGTTTCATGGCATGTTTATTCAACTGGTCACGGAGAGAAAAATTGCACAGCATTGTAGATATTTTGGCCATAGCGCCATGAAGAAATATCATTGATTGTTTGTTATCAACAGTGGGTTGCCATTGCAGTTTATAGCAGCGATTCCCTCCAACTTGATAATTAAGTCGTCCCACGGTGCCACAGCACGCAAGGGTCTCGTAGGTAACATGCTGGTGCTTCTCGCCGTTCGTGCATGTATGCTGCTGGAACACATGGGGCTGAAAATATCGTACTGCATTGTCCTTGCATTTTAGTCTGCCGGAGGAAGGGACATGGAAAACACTGAGCCCTAGTTGCCAGGAACACGTCTCCCAGCACCGGAAGCGGCAGCTGGCAGCATCGTCAGCAGCTGCTCGTGGCATCCGTCTGCAGGGATTCAAAGTAGTTTATCTCCTGCAATCCTTAACATAAATGATAAAACACCAAAAGAAACCTTTTGGTCGCGCGTGCTCGGCAATTTGTTCAGGGAGACTGCCGACGACAAGCCCATCCAGTGCCGACACTCTGCACAAAGGCCGACAACCTAAGGAAGACCGTAGGCGAAAAGCATCATTACGAATCCAACTGCCAGTGACGGCCTAACAGGCGGGACAACGTCGCCTTCCTCAGGACCAACTATAGCACGAACAATCTTCTGCCACTCCTCTTCCCCGTAAATCCAAATACAGCACAATCCATTGGTGAACTACCACCACGGGTGCAAGAGTCACATATGCAGGTTACGCTTATGCTAAGTTTCCGATGCACTTCGACTCTTATGCAGCCGGGTTTGTAACCTTGAGGTGTGCTCCTACTTGAATGGCGCGTCTCCTGAGTTCAATGCTTTCCGATTCGCCAAGCATATAACGCTTGTAGCAGGTTCCTCTTCACCTCGAAGCCTTCTTAATGTCCGCTCTTCGTGCCTACTCGACAGCTCTGGGGCAGCGAATTCGGCTCCTTCTGTGCACGTGACAAAGGCGCAGCTGGCTACAAGATTCGCCTTGGGGTTATAGAGGGCAACAAAGGAAACAGCCTGGTCGGTATAGACATCAGGCTGGTTCGAATCTGTGTATGTTGGAGGCAGCTTGCTACTGAAGAACGAAAACCCATTACTCCAGTGCTGAACTGCAGTTTTGCAGTCTTTTTTGCCAGGGTAATACGCGAAGGTTCCCTTCAACTTTTTTGGTTCAGTCCCCGCGCTGTCAGTCTTCACATTGTAACACGAAAATCAAGGGAAACAGGGCGTCTTATCCTAAATGAGCCGTAGTCTGCATGACTTAGTTCGGCTAAGAATACCGGAACTCGCGATGCCAGTGCGCTCATGACGCGGCTTACCCCCGCTATTTCTTGGAAAATTTCCCTCTACAAATTGGCGGCTATTATGTCAGTTCTACCGGCGGCATGTTTCGGCAGTATTTGATCTTGTTCCTCTGCCTCCTTAAACTCAGCAAGTCCCGCGGCTCTCCTCAGCTCGTTCATCGAGGCCAAGCAATCAAGCGTTTCTGAGGGGAAAATCTAACACGAACAAGAAATCTGTGAAGACCGAACAGCGTTTTAGGTTGGGACATCAGAAAAACCAGAAATCGTGGGTCAATTTGGGGAAAAGACACAAGCAATGCGCTTACCTGCTGTTCCAGTTGCTGTTCCAGTTGTGTTCGCAGATACTGCCTTGTGTCCAGAGAACACACATAAGGCAACAACTACAATAAAACGGGGGCAAATCATGTTCTACAAAAACTTAATAGTAAAAAAGGACAAAGAAATAAATTTTGGGAGGAATTGGTGAACTTCGTTTCTTTTTCAACGGATGGCAGTGTAGTAGGAGACACCAATGGGCTGCATTGGAGCGGCTGCGCTTCTTGATAATACGTTTTTTCTACGTCATCTTCTTTTTCAGACTCATTCAGATTAGGCAAACAAATATCTTGTTTTGTTGGTAACTACGTCCCATTCGGCTTTACCTTTCCTGATCTTCATCGCGTGCCTTAAAGTTTCTATTGATCTGCTCCACCGCATCACCCCCAAAGATCTATCTACAGCGCCCACAACACGTTGAACGAACAGGAATTTTTACTTGTCCTAAGAGGCCTAACTCTAGTGCCCCGTTGTTAGATGCGTGCTTGTTTGTACTGACGCGCCAGAGACCAAGAAGCGCCCCATGGCAGGAATGCTTGTCAGTGCGTTACACACACCAGCAGGTTAAATTGATGTACGCGCAAATGTTCACCTTGGCAAGACCTCTTTACGAACGTATTATTTCCTTTAAGGAAGGGGAAAGATGTATCTTCCGAATTTTTTTCTGTTGGCCGTGCGTCGCGGCGAGCCGTCGACTCCCAAGGAGTGAGGAACCCGAGACAGGCTATATCTATGCAAGAGTACATTCAAAATATCTACAATGCACTCAACTCAAATAAGTTCCTGAGAATGAGGATACAAAGGAATGCAGTGACACAAGCCCGCTCCCTTAAAGTAACTTCGGGAAGCGACATAGCATGACAAGGCTCAACCTGGTCAAGCAGCCAGCTGCGGTATAAAATTGTCACTCACCGATATCTCAGGGTACACTTAAACCAGTGCTGACTATCGGAAGCGTTGTAACCAGTGCTGACCATCGGAAGCGTTGTATAATATATTTAGGAGCAATAAATACGCATCGAGAATATCGAAAATAGGGCATGACAGCATAGAGCGTGCATCGCCAGCACCTGCTCGTGGAAGGTCTCTGCAGAGGCTAGAAAAGCTCCATCTTCTGCATTCCTCAACAGATACGATAAAGCACCAAGAGAAACCTTCTGATCACGTGTGCTGGATGGCTTATTCGGCGGGGCGCCCGATGATAAATCTGTCCGGTACCGGCACCCTGCACACAGGCTGAGAGCTTAAAAAAGACCATACGCGAAAAGCAGCAAAATCAACCCAAGTTCCAATGACGGCTTTACCGGGGAAACCCCATTGCCCTCCTCAGTACCAACTATAGATTGAACAATCTTCTGCCATTCATCTTCCCTGAAAATCCAGATACAGCACAATACACACGATCACCTAGCTCCAAGGAAGCAAGTGAGGCACATGAAAGTCACATCTGTGTGCACTTTGGGCCCTATGCCGCGGAGTCTATTGTCTTAGGGTGTATTCCCACTTGAATGGCGCCGCCCCAGTAGTCAGCGCCTTCGGATTCGTCAAGCAAATAACGGCAGTAGTTGTTTGAGCTCCATCTCCGAGGCTCCTTAATGTTGGCCCTTCCTTGCCTTTTGAGAGGGCTGGGGCAGCAAACTCGCTTGCTGTTGTGCAGGTGACAAAGGCACAGCTGGCTACAGGACTCGCTTTAGGGTTATAGAGGGCAATAAAGGAAACAGCCCTGTCGGTGTACACCGCAGGGTTATTTAATGCTGTGTACGTTGGGGGCAGCTGGTTATTGAAGAGCGAAAATCCGTCCTTCCAGTGCTGGACTGCCGCTTTGCAGTCCTTTTTGCCGGGGTAGTACGCGAAGGTCCCCTCTAATTTTTCGGCTTCAGCGCTGTTGCTTTCCTCCTTAACATAGTAGAATGCAAAACAAGACAAGCCTGCCATCTCTCGCTACACGCGCCGTCATCTATAAGACTTCGAGTGGCTAAATAAACTCCCGAGAGAGCTGCGCTTGTGAAGAGACTAACCGTTGTTATTATTGTGCAGATTTCGTTCCATAAAGTGCCAGCGTTTATTGCTTCTTTTAAAGTGGTGCTTTGCGGCAGTTTTTGCTTATCATTAGATGCCTCCTCAAACTGGGCGAGTCCAGCTGCTGTCCTGGCCTCATTCATTTCGGCCAAGCAATTGAGCGTCTCTGAAGGGAAACTCCGACACACACAAGAACTGTTCGAATAAAGGAGACTGCTATCCTGAAATAGGAAGAGTCTTGCCCCATAAACAACGAAAAGACAGGAGTTACAGGCATACCAGCTTTTCCAGTTGTGCTAGCACTTGCTGCCTCGTGTCCATAGAACATGGACACAGCAGCGAGCGCAGTACAAATTCGATGAAGCATCGTTGACCAGTAAAGTAATAACATAAAGGGAGGGTTAAAGAAATATCTTTTGGAGGAGTTGGTCAGCACTCCTCGCTCGTCGACGAAAGGGCATAGGGCGCCTGAGGGCTGCGTCTGCGTAGCAGCGCTCACTTATCACAAATTTCTTCTTCATACCCTTTTCAAGGGCCATGAAAGCTGAGCAACAATATAAATTGTTTCGTTAGTAACTGTGCTGCATCTGGCGTGGCTCCTCGTGGTCTATGCCGCGTGCCGCAAAGGTTCTGTTTATCTGGGTCACCGCACTCCCACATAGATCTACAGCGACTACTGCGCAGCCAGACCACAGAGCATCTTCTTAAAAGCCCTGACTATACCGTCCTGCAGTAAATTGCGTGTGTTTTTGCATTGACCTACCAGAGAGTAACAGACGCCGCATAGCACGAGTGCACGTCTGGGATACGTTACATGCCGGCGGGTGAAACAGACGCAAGCGTGAATGTCCACTAAAACATTTACTTTGCACATTCTCCTTTCTAGACAAACTATAAACAATGGCTTAACGGGAAAACAAGCCCACGTTCGAATTGTTTTCGGTTAAGCGACGTCGGCAGCCCATGGACGCTTAATGCTTAGGAAAAACAAGACAGGATACTTCTCTGCACGAGTAAACTTCAAGTGTCTTCAAAATGTTCGAATTAAACTCTTCCTTGGCAATAAGGAAGCAGAGGCATGCAGCGACACAAGGCTCCTCCTCCAAAGTTACCTCGGGAAGTGTCCTAGATTGATGAGGTTCAGCCTGGCCAGAGAAGCAGCCACGGTATACACCAGCAGTACGTCACCAATATCGCTAGACAGAGCTAAACATAGGCAAGGTATCGGCAGCACTCCCGAATATACGTAGCACTAGAGGCCATAAATACGTCTGGAGAATATTGAAAATGGAACCTAACAGCAAATGGTGTGCACCGCCAGCACCTGCTCGTGGCACCACTCTGCATGGACTAAAAATTGTTCATCTTCTGCACTCCTTAATGAAAACGATAAAACACTAAGAGAAACATCTCGTTCCCGCGCGCTGGAATATTAATTCGGTGAGAAGACCAAGAATAAGCCTGCGCACTGCCCGTGACTGCATCCTGGACACAATCTGAGAGCTTAAAAAAGAGTGTAAGCAAAAATCATCATTATAAACCCCAGTGTAAGAGACGGCCTAACCGGGGAAGCCCCGGTGCCCTCCTCAGTACCAACTATTGCATGAACAATCTTCTGCCATTCATCTTCCCTGCAAACCCGACCATAGCACAATACACACGATCACTTAGCTCCATGAAAACAAGTGCTACATATAAAAGTCACACTCGCGCTAAGTTTCTGATGCGCTTTGGGCCTTATGAAGCCACACCGGTGGTCTGGGGGTGTATTCTCACTGGAATGGCGCCGCATCAGTAATCAGCGCCTTAGGATTCGTCAAGCAGATGATGGCAGTAGTAGGTTCCTCTTCACCTTGAAGCCTTCTTAATGTCCGCCTTTCGTCGCTTCTTGACAGGGCTGAAGCAACAGACCCGGCTCCTTTTGTGCAGGTGACAAAGGCACAGCTGGCTACAGGGCTCGTCTGAGGGTTATAGAGGGAGACAAAGGAGACGGCCCTGTTGTTATAGACTTCAGACTGGTTCGAAGTTGTGTACGTTGGGGGCAGCTTGTTATTGAAGAGCGAAAAACCGTCCTTCCAATATTGCACTGCCGCTTTGCAGTCCTTGCTGCCGGGATAGTACGCGAAGGTTCCCTCTAATTTTTCGGCTTCAGTGCTATTTTCTTCTTCCTTCACATAATGGAATGCAAACCAAGACAAACGTGCCATCTCTTCCTACATATGTTGTCATCTAGAAGACGCTGACATGCCAAATAGACTCCGAACTACAGTGCGCTTGTGAAGAGACTAACCGCTGTTATTATTTTGCATATTTGGTTCCATAAATTTGTGGGGTCCACGGTTTCTTTCAGAAGGGGGCTTGGCGGCAGCTTTTGCTTTTCACTAGATGGCTCCCCAAACTTGGCGAGCCCAGCGGCTGTCCTGGCCTCGTTCATATCGGCCAAGCAGTTGAGCGTCTCTGAAAGGAATTTCCGACACACACAGAAACATTTTAAAAGAAAGAGTTTCCTACTCTGGAATAGGAAGAGTGTTCCCTATTAAAGGAGAAAAGACAGGAGTTACTTGCCTACCAGCTTTTCCAGTTGTGCTGGCACCTGCTGCCTCGTGTCCATACAACACGGACACAACACCAAGAGCAATGCAAACGAGACGAAACATTTTTGGCTACTAAAATAATGTCCTAAAAAGGGAGGGCTACAGAAATATCTTGTGGAAGAGTTAGTGAGGAGGGTTCCCTCGTCGGCGAAAGGGCGGAGGGCATCTGAGGGCTGCGTCTGCGTAGCAGCGCTCGCTTATTGCAAATTTTCCCCTTCATAGTTTTTTCAAGATTATGGAATTTAAGTAGCAATATATCTTGACTTGTTACTAGCTGTGCTGCACATGGCGTCGCCTCTCATGATCTACGCAGCGTGCCGTAAAGGTTCTGTTGATCTGGGTCACCGCTTCACCTCTGAAGATCTACAGCGACCAGAGCGCAGCCAAAGCGCAGAGCATCTTCTTAGGAAACCTAACTTTACCGTCCTGCCGTGAAGTGCGTGCTTTTTCGCATCACATTGAGGTACCAGAGAGTAAGAAACGCCGCACAGCACGAGTTTATGTCTGGAGTGCGTTGCACACCGGCGGGTCAAATTGATGCACGCGCAAATGTTCCCCAAAACATTTAGTTTACACAGTTTTCGTTTACAAAGACTATAAATAGCAATGTGGTGAGAAAATAAGCCCACTGTCAAATTTCTTCCCGTTAGGCGACGTCAGCAACCCATGGACGCTCAATGAGTGAGGAAACGCAGACAGGATGTATCTCTAAACGAGTAGATTCAAAATGTTACGACAGCGTTCCACTTAAGTGCTTCCTTAAGAATAAGGGCACAAAAACATGCGACGACTCAAGGCTGCGCCGTTAAAGTGACCTCAAGAAGTGACCCAGTGTCAACCTCACCAAAGAAACAGCCAAGATTTACGCCACCAGCGCATCACCAATATCACTAGATACACCTAAACATGGGCTAGGTATCGGCAGCAATCTCGAAGACACTCGGGACTACAAGCCATAAACACGTCGGCAGAATATCGAAAGTGGAACCTGATAGCACATGGCGTGCATCGCCAGCACCTGCTCGTGGCGCATCTCTGCAGGGTCTAAAAATGGTTTATCTTCTGCACTCCTAAACACAGACAATAAAACACCAGAAGCCTCTTGCTCTCGTATGCTGGATTAGTAGCTTGGTGAGATAGCCAGCAATAAGCCCGTCTAGTGCGTGCACGCACACTGCCAAGAGGCTAAAGGCCTGAAAAAGACCGTACGCAAACAGCATCGTGATGAACCCAACTGCCAATGATGGCCTGAACGGGGAAACCCCGTTGCCCTCCTCAGTACCAACTATAGCATGAACAATCTTCTGCCACTCCTCTCCCCTGAAAATCCAAACAGAGCACA